GACATGCTTTACCTAACAACACTTGGCTTGAAAATTTGTGGATTGTGAAAAAGAAAAAAAGAAAAAGAAAAAGAAAAGGCATAAAAAAAGACGAGAAGTTCTTGCTTGGTCATAAAATATTGTTATGTGGTGTTTTAATAGTGTTGTAATTAGTGGAGGGGTGAGACTCTTGAATTTGTATTAGATGATTAAAAAATATGAAAGAATATAATAAATTATGATTGGTATGAAATATAATCACATTTAAAATTAACCAATAATTTTTGGTAAAAAGTAATGAAAAGAAGCAAAGGTTGTTGGACTGGCGGTGAGTGTTTGACAGTAGTAATGATCTTAAATTGTGGAAAATAGTATATAAGTTCATTTTTTAAATTTAATAATGTGTAAGTAATATAATTAATTGATAATTGAAGAATATATGAGAGAAAATATTATTTTTAATATCTTAATTAATTATCACATCACTAGACTTAAAAATTAAGTTTAATTTTTTTGTCTTAAAAAATAATACTCTTAAATTATTATAAAATATATTTTTCAAATTTGTTGTGTTTTAGGAAAGTATAAAAATATATCATATGGGTTAATAAATACTCAATGCGAATAATTAAAGAAAATCACCCCCTTCACCTTTATATATAGAAAGTCCATCCAAAGTTGTCACTCACTCCATTCTCTCTCTCTCTCTCTCTCTCTCTCTCACTTTGTGTTTCATGTGAAGAATGGAGGTGAAGGTTTTCTTGATGAAAAATTATTAGGCGATCTCGAAAGAAAGGTGAAATAGGTTGTGCCTGGCTCCCTGTATGCCACACGAACAAACCAATCTATGTGTTGATTGGTTTGACGAGTGGCGTGCGAGGAGCCAAGCATGCCGACATTCTCTCTCTCTCACTTGTATCCATATGCTTCATCTTCATTTGTTACATCTAGGTTTAATTGTGTTGATGTTTTTCTCATCTTCAAATATTAGCATTCTAAACCTTTTTGAATTCATGGTTATCATAGATGTATATAGGATGTGTTTAGCATACTGGCTTCACAATGATGATGATGTTATACGAGTCTTTAACTAATCATTGCTTCATTATCTTCTCACCAGAAGAAGAAAAAAAACACTATACAAATTAACAAATTTTATAATTTTTTCTTACTAATTTACGTGTTATGCGATTATGAAATTTTAGAATCTGAAGTAGAATTGATTTCTACAATATGATAGGTATCAAATCAGTGAATAAAAAAATTTATAAAATTTATTAGTTCATATAATAAAAAAAAACTTGTTCCTTCCGTTAGATTAGATTACTCAGTTAAGAGAAAACAGAAGGCAAAAAGGATTCCTTTACAGGTTAATTAGCTTTTTGTTCTTCCTTTTTTTCTTTCTTCTTTTTTTTTTTCCCTTTTTTTTTACCCCTTTTGTGTTGATATCTATATGTTTTTAATTAATGCCTTTTTTTGAAATGGAACATTGATTAATTTACATAGAAGTGTTGTAAAAATCCATTACTTTGTTTATTGTTTATGAATTTTTTTCAAAAGAATATATATCAGATAAATTAATGGACAACTTTTACTTGCGCAAACACATCTCACTTGTACACTATTTATTTGTAATTTTTTTTTTTTCCATTTTCAACTTGTCTAATATTTCTCCAATCATCTTTACATAAAAGAAACTAAAAAAAATTATGTTCTTTTCATAAGTTGAATATTATTATAGATGTTTCTTATTATATTTTTGAACAATCGATCAAAAAATAGAAGAAAGAAAAATTACATCAGTTATGATTTGAAGATTACAAGTCCATCTTATTTACATTTTCAACACCGCTACGGAGCCCGAAAAATCAATGGTTCGAATGACTCGAAATCCCAAAACGACGTCGTTTTAAGACTTTTTTTTATTTTTTTACCGGTAAGATAATATTTTCCGTACCATTCGAACCATTCGAGCATCAATTTTTCGGGCTACGGAGCATTTTTGTTACATTTTTTAGATATATAGACATTATTATGGTTATTTCTCCATTATCTTCGCATACCAAGCATGGTAATTTTAATTATAAGATCATACTAATAACAATCCTGCTAGCAATCTTTAAAGTAGAAAATATGTAAAAATTGTAAATATTTTAATGTTTTTGAACAATCGATCAAAAAATAGAAGAAAGAAAAATTACATCAGTTATGATTTGAAGATTACAAGTCCATCTTATTTACATTTTCAACACCGCTACGGAGCCCGAAAAATCAATGGTTCGAATGACTCGAAATCCCAAAACGACGTCGTTTTAAGACTTTTTTTTATTTTTTTACCGGTAAGATAATATTTTCCGTACCATTCGAACCATTTGAGCATCAATTTTTCGGGCTACGGAGCATTTTTGTTACATTTTTTAGATATATAGACATTATTATGGTTATTTCTCCATTATCTTCACATACCAAGCATGGTAATTTTAATTATAAGATCATACTAATAACAATCCTGCTAGCAATCTTTAAAGTAGAAAATATGTAAATATTTTAATGCATTTTTCATATAATTTCAAACACCGATACATGTTTCTATATATGTTATAACATTAATTTCTATATACCTTTTATATTTACATCAAAGAAAAATCCATTTTGCCTCATAAAATTATCACTTTTGTATCAGTTTACATCTAAATTATCAATGCAGTTATTATTTTGACGAAATGCCATATAAAAATATTTATACACGTGATTTGCTTAATTTAGATATATCGAGAGATAGTAGTTTGTTACATTTAATTGTATTTTGTGTTTTATTAAAATTTTCACAATTGATTTTGTTTTGTTGCATGATATCTAAATTAATAATTATCTATTTATTTGTCTCGTTAATACGGGACAAAATGAATAACTACCTTCAATTAATCGCGTGTACGCCGACAAGTATGATATTATGTTAGAATGTTAACCTCATTAATAATTTGCAGTTAAATAAACTAATGACAATAGTTTAAAGGAGTAAATGTTCAAATAGATAGTTTAAAGTAAAGTGGGGTAAATATAATAGTTCGAGAAGACAAAGTAAAATTTTCAATTACATTAAAGTTAATATCTTCATCATTTTTTCAATAGAAAAGGCTTAAAACTTATAAAATATCATTCATAAAATTTCTTTTTAATGATATGATTTGTTACATAAAAACTAATCAATTAAGACATAATCCTTTCTGCATCAGTATATGTAAACTGTAAAAATGATGTGCTCTAAGATTACTCTTTTGTTGCATTTGGCTAAAAAAAAATCATCTTTATTTATTACTTTTATGATATACATATAGAGGCATACATATGCTATGCATAGATATATTTATAAAAAATGCTATGCATTGAAAAATATATATATATATATTAAAAAAAACAAAGAATGTACAAAGAAAGAATAGAGATACAGAGAGAGAAAGCTACATGTGTGTGCGTAGTGAAAAGTAAAAGGCGTGGGGTTAGTGTTTCTGATAATGCAGCTTTATTCTCTCCTCAAAAGCAACACAACACAACATATGCAAATTTTTTATTTATTTATTTAAATTTTTTTGAACAAAGAACAAAGTTGGTATATTGGATTGGGAACACATCCCCATCAATATTCTGCACCCCACCTCTTTTGATTCGATTCCTTCTTTTAATTTGTACCTTCTAGGATTTGAGTAAAAAATGAAAAAAAAAAAAAAATTCAATTTCTTGTACCTTCTAGGATTTGAGTAAAAAATGAAAAAAAAAAAAATCAATTTTATTCCATTCAAATCAAATCATACATAGTGATATTTTTTTTTTTTTGCTAACACTCTTAAATAAGAAACTCGCACCCAATTAAATTAGAAACTCTTAGACATACCAATCTTTAAAAAAATTAAAGAAAAACAATTATTTGTATCAAATTCAATTTTGAGGAAGATGTCTCATCTTATTTATAATGTGACTATAAATCAACTATTATGCTAGCATTGGTTTCTGTTTTTCATGACAAAACCAAACTCATAAAGGTGGACATTTCACTTTATTAGAAAAAATTGTTAGGATAGATGTTGTGAATCCATCCTTTGTCCCATCATCAAAGCAAGTTGTCACCTCCTGCTAAGTTGTCTCTACCAGAAGAAATGAAGGCTAATGGAAGATTTCAAAACATCTTGAAAGACTTGAGAGGATGAGGAATACTTTTACATAATTCTAGAATTTGTATAGAAAGTTCCAAAATAGTTTTTAAATTATTTTTGTAAGATTGTAGAAGGCTGTAAGAACATTCCACACACCAAATCAATTGTATCTAATCTTGCAATTGTGGGTATGGAGAATTGTAAGGGCTTTCATTTGCTCACTCTTGTTTGATCCATCTTAGGAACAATTCTATATGAAATATTTGTATATAACATAGAGAAATCCAAACACTCACTGGTTGGAAAATTCCATATCCCAATTGCATCAAACTTAACACAGACGGAGCATCTAAAGGCAAACCAGGGAAAGCAAGCAATGGAGGTCTTTTCAGAGACAACTCAGGTCATCGGATCTTGGGTTATTGCGGGTTCATTGGATTCACCTCTAGCATTGAAGCCCAAGTCTGGGCATTGAAAGGACAGAGAATAGCAGTAGACAAGAATTTCTTCAATCTGGATATTGAAACTGACTCTCAATTGCCGACTCAATTACTTTTAAATGAGGCTAACAATCAGCATCATTATCATCTCAGTAATCTCATTTCATTTCTGATTACAGGTATCTCATGGGCAATGTGAGAGTTCAAACTCTTAGTCATATCTTCCGGAAAGCCAACGAACCTGCAGATATTATAACTAATCATGATTATTGCACTATATGGTTTTCAATTTTTCCCAGTTGCATTGCACCCCCCCTTCATTGTAAACCGTCTGCTGATGCTGTAGGGGCTCAATACTCCAGAACTATTTCATCTTAATATATTGCTATGCTTTGTTTACCAAAAAAGAAAACAAGGTGTGCAAAACCTCTAATAAATAATATCAAAATTTTCTTTTATTTCTTTCTCAAGCTATGTAAGGGCACAGGTTCATAGCATATTCATCTTCATGTGATGAATGTATCAAGAAAAAAAAAATTACAGAAAAATAAAATATATTTTACAAAATTTTCTCATAAACTAATGTAACATCAAATAATAAATTTTAAAATTTTAACATAAAACCAAGCTCTTCATATCTCATGTGAATCCTCATAATCATAATCCACACCACAGGCATATCCAGCTTCTTCATGTCCATAATATAGAGCACTGTCATAGTCTCCGCAGCTTTCAACACCTTCATCGTAATTGGTCCTGTGGTCAAATTCATCATCATACTTTCTTCTTTCAGACTCGCGACTGTTGGTGCTAAACTTCTTACTAATGTAACATCAAATAATAAATTTTAAAATTTTAACATAAAGCCAAGCTCTTCATATCTCATGTCAATCCTCATAATCATAATCCACACCACAGGCATATCCAGCTTCTTCATGTCCATAATATAGAGCACTGTCATAGTCTCCGCAGCTTTCAACACCTTCACCGTAATTGATCCTGTGGTCAAATTCATCATCATACTTTCTTCTTTCAGACTCGCGATTGTTGGTGCTAAACTTCCTGTTAAACTTTGTATCGCATTTTGCAATTATGCCTTCCGTGTTGGCATTCTCGGCACCTTGGCTCTGTAAAGACATTGAAATGGCATTCTCGGCACCTTGGCTCTGTAAAGACATTGAAATGGACGTATAGAAATACATTAGCCAACTCTCAGTGTAGCTTTGTCTGATAGAAAGTAATAAATTTCAGCTTAATGGAACAAAAATAACAGTAAAATAACATGGCATCATATTGTAACTTGATTTGAAATTGAGAATTCATGTAAATAGGATGAATAATCCCACCAAATGATTACTTCAATCCTTCCATCTAACTTGAGCCCAACACACGCGGCTTATCATCATACAATCACCTGTTTTAGAAACTGTATTTGAAAAAACATTAGAAAATGACAATGACGACTGTATTTTCCTCCATGTCTCGTTTTCATTTATAAAATGGGCTACAACCTTTCATTGGCAGGAAGAACTGAAGTTTCCTTTGTTAAGTGCGCCATTGAATTACCAATAGGACAACGTTGGTTGGAGTCATTGCAAGGGAGCTGAAGTCTTGTAAAATTCAGTGGGAAGATAAGTTTATATTCAAGTGACCATTAACTTGAGGTCGAGACCATTTGTGTTGTGGGGATTGGGATTCGTCAATTTGTTCTACCTTTCCAATTCTTAAGTTTGATTTGTTTCCATCACTAACCAAACCAAACCGGCCCAATACACATCGGTTGGATTTGGTTATTTAGTTTTCCCATTAACTATCGTGCATATGGCCACAAAATAGACAGGTTTGGCTCACATCTCATAATCAAACCATGAAGCACTTCCGAGAGTACAAAGAATGCAACATTGATGACATACTAGGAGATTTATCTCTGCAGCTAATAGGGTATGCCATGAGCTTTCAGCATTTCACACGCTATGTAGTATATGAACTACCAACATTTTTCCACTATATAAGTTCAGAGCTCCGAATTAATGCTTTCTCTCTCCCCCCTATGATCTCCAAGCCATTAAAGGACAATCCAAGAGAATGTTTGCAGATTGTCTAAAACACTTTTCAAGTTGAAAAAACAGTGCTGGTCCTGGACACCACCACTTGCATATTCAAAGTCACTCATTCAATTTCGATAGCATCTAACAATCCTCACACTAAACATTCTTGCACAAACTAGAAAATTATACTCAATATGGAAGTGTTCTTCAATTTGTGCTGAATCTACTTAATGGATAGAGTTGGGTGGCTGAGTGCCGAGTAAGTCCAGTTCTGATTATAGAGATTAAAAGGTTGACCTATGTGTCTATGACTAGGAGTTCCAACCAATTGTAGAGCTCATCTCTTGTCCCAAAAATATAACGTTGCATGTGAGCGAGTTTTTATCCCCAAATTTTTCATTCTCCACACAGACGAGTACAAGGTTTAGGACATGGAAGCATGTCAACATGAACATCGCTTTGTTGTACATGCATAATTGCCGTCAAAAAAACAGACAACATGGAATTTATTCAAAACTTTTACTCTCTTCTACCACTAGATCCTAAAATTTTATTTTATTTTATCATTACAAGTTTAATATAATAAATATTACAAATTTAAGCACAATCGCAATATTTGGAAAGAAAAGGCCAGAGGAGGACTTAAAAAAACATACCAACTCAGCATTTAGTTTCTCCAAGGCATCATAGTTAATCCTTGAACTCAGTCTCTGCAAAAATAGCAATTTGCATTAAGTATGGCTAATACATCAAACAGAGTTCCCAGGCAGACCAACATGCACTATCTAACACTATCAAGCTAAACATTACAGATAACATAATAATTTACAGTATGCACATTACCAAATACAAATAATTGGCATGAAAAATAATTAGAGTTGTTGAGTATTTAATACAGGAAAAATGCTGCAATCTATGTTACTAGTATTTGACTCTTAATGAATAACCATGCAACACAACAAAAGTAACAATATTATAAAAACTTGCATTGCTACCCACTGAACTTTAGTTTCAATTACCTTCTCATTTGCTACTCTGTCAGTGGTCTTGGAAGCTTTTCTAGCAGGAGCATCTTTCTTGGCTTCTGTGGATCTTTTTCTAGGCCTTACCTGACACTTGATGATCCAAATATTGATAACATTTATCAGATTCAATGCCGACTAGTGATGACAGATTTTCTTTTCAAATAGTTTAAGTGCAAAAAGTGATGCTAATAGAAGAGACAAAGTGAAGGGATGTGAGGATCCTCTGAGGTGCAACTAGAACAGTTTTACAGAGAAATGAGGGTTAAATATTCCTACCAGAAAATGAAGCAGGACAGCGTGTCTCAATCTCCTGAGTATTACATGCTTCAATTGAATGGTATTCTTTGAGATCAGACAAATGCATGTATTCAATATCTAACTTGGCAACATATTCAACAATACAACAAAGGGCTTTACATGTGTTTGTCTGTCTAATCAATACATTCAAAGGACTCCACATCTAAACTAGTGCTCGTTCTTCTATGATTTTACTTACAGAAAGACTATAGCAGTCAAAAGGCAGTGAGTACAATAAAACAAATGTTACTGGTTTTGTTGTCAAATCAATTTCATCTCATTAGCTACATATCATGGGTATTTACAGCATCATGACTATTAACCAACTTTTGCTCCAAATTACCTACACTCGAAGAGGGTAATATCAGAAAGAGAGGAACAAAGAAAAGGCAGCATTACCGTTCCATGTTTTCTATTCATTTGTTCCCAAATAATCTTTTTGTAATGCATCTCTTCCTTACTGTGCAGATATTTGACAACCTGTAAAAAATTTGACATTGTTTCAAAGTTATAAATTCACTGATCTGATAAGTCAATCAGGAAACATTTACCAATTAAGTCAAGAACACAACTTGCTGTAAAACCTGCGGCATACCTCAACATCATCGATATCAGAAAGGCTTTCTGACTCATCAATTGCTGCCATTCTACTCAGATGCTCATATCTATGTAGCCGACCGGATACCTTGTTACCATCTCGGCATCCATCAGAAGCTCCTGAAACTTCAAAATGTTACTTTGACTTGAGCTTTTCAAGTTTAATCCCTAAAATAATGCATGACAGGAATTTCATGAGAACAATGCATTACCCTTTTGGGTATTCATGAATCCACTTCTTACAACATCTGCACGTACTTTGGAGGACGGTGTTACTTCTTTCTCTAACTAAAAAACAAACATGAAAACAAAAATGTGCGGTAAGATAAACTAGATCCAAGATCTCTCTTACACACCTTAAAGTCATTAGTTTATCAATCACGGAACAGAAACAAGGAGTAATGAGGAAGAAAAAGCTGCATAATCCTAAATTACTACTAACAGTATATTTGAATATATATCTCAACCATAGTGAAAAATTCGGAAAATGGGAAACAATGGACAAGATTGTGCGCAAAATGTTTTTGTAAGTCTAAGAAATGGAGGCAAAGGTCTTTTAGTTTATACAAATCACAATACACATTTCATGAGAAGAAAAAAAAAAACATGAAATTTATCTTTAAAATTTGAATATGCCATGTCTTTAGCTCGTTGGGTTGGGATCATATATTTCCAAGACAGGGAGGGATTTAGGAGATAAATGGCAGCAAAATATACAGCTGAAATCTGATCTCATTACCCTGAATTAGATATGCTGCTAGTTTAGTTTTCCACACCTTTTTTATGCTTCAAGAGTCAACAATCTTTTTTTTTCTTTTTTCAATTTAAAGATTTTCTGCGCATGGGCTAAGCTAGTGTTCCATGGGCCTTCTTTTGTGTCACATTATTGTGATTTTATACATGATCCTTAGTTTGTTACTTTGTTTAGATCAATTATGTAACTCAATTAACTTATGGGTCGTTTCTTAGTGTTGTCATCATGCTGAATACCATATACTCTTAATGCAATAGAAGGGCACTTACTTAACCCTTGAAAGAATCACCAAGGAATTGCAAGCTAACGGTGTATACATCAAGAACAGCAACCTTATCTTGAGACTACTTAGAAAACTCAAGAATGCAATCAAACAAGATACAACAACAACACCTAGTGGACTAACACACATCCAATTGATAAAAAATAAAAATAAAAAACATAACAAGAAACTTAGTTGCAAGAATTGCCTACTGGGGTGACGTTTCTACGATCTAAAACAAGAAACTTGTTAGAACCATGGTGGAGATAGAATTGGGGTTCCAACTGGGATGAGACCACAAACATATGAATCTTGAAGAAACAAAAAAAAAATCTATCGAAGGTTGTAAATTCTAGAGGCGGGTTGTGTAATTTCAGAAACAATTGAGAAGTCTCTATAATTATCAAACACTCAAACTCTGCTGAGGTTTGCATAATTACCCCCCAAAAAAGGTACAAGGTTGACTAAGCCAGCTTTTAGTACAGAGAAAGGTGACCTTAAAAAAATAGAGTAGAGCATTAATAAAATCTTCAAATCCACAATGAAGCAAGAGATATGAAATTTTGTTTCCAGTTATAACTTGGAAGGGTTAGAAAATTGAGTGAAAGAGGCACAATGTAATTTCAAGAAATTAATCCTTATTACAATTACATTCAATCAAGAACTTTGCAACACAACAAACAATAATTAACACCTCAAATTTCTTGAACCCTAGCTGGACATGAACAATCTAATCTTGACTATAATGGGTTTAAAAAAAAAAAAAAAAAACGAAAAAAGACAATCTGATTATATACTGTCAATCTCATTCAATTAAAAACAGAGAAAGACGACAAACACAAAGACGGTGAAAAGATAAAAATGAAAAAAACGTACCCATAGGTTAATGGGTAACAATGGTGATTAAGGCTTTGAGGATTAAGGAACCTAGCGACCGTAGCTAAATGCCCCTCTGGTTTATCAGACAAGCACCGCCTCAACTCCACACTTGATTGTTTGAGGAAATATCATTTTGTCCTGAATTGTTACTCAAAAATCAATTTATATTCTTTTAATAATAGGGTAAAATTATAAACCCACAATTCGTGATATTTATTATAAATCAAAAAAAATATTAAATAAATTTTTATGACAGTTTTTAAAATTTTTATAAATATAAACTGAAAATTGAAAATTGAAAATTGAAAACGGAATAGTTACCAAACATATCCTTAAATTACAAATTATTTTTTATAGTTCTAAAAATTATATTATACTCCTAAGGTTTTTAATTTCATAACAAATAAGGTTATTTTATTAATAAATTATCAAATTAATTAACAGTTTTTAATAATATTAAAATTTCATTTTAATTAATAATTCAAATAATTTATTATTGTATAGGTGAACAGTTAGAAGTTTTACTTTTTCAATTGATTCTGTTAAATAAAAAATTCTAACAGGGAGGCATTTGTAATTTTCTAAACCACAGGGAGCAATTCATATTTTAAGCAAACCTCGGGGGTGTATTTATAATTTATCCTTAATAATATTAATGTTACTCTTAAATTATTTAATTTTAGATTCATTTTATCTTTATTGTTGGCTACTGTTTATAATCAAATAAAGGTTATTGACGTGACACAAAAATTTCGTTCAAAATTTTATTTTATCCCTCAAACTATCTTTAAAATATCAATTAGATTCCAAAATTTTGTTTTGTTCAGGAGTTTAATTGATATTTTAGAGATAGTTTAGAGGATAAAATAAAATTTCAAATGAAGTTTGTGTGTCACATTAACAACTTTCATTTGATCATAAAAGGACAATTGATGGTAGGGGTAAAATTGATACAAAATCAAATAATTTAAGTATAAAATTGATATTATTAAAATAACAGAGGTTGAATTGATTTTTGATTAATAGTTTACAAGGGCAAATGATATTTTCTCTAAATTTTATAACTTAGGCTTTGTTTGGGAAAAAAAAAATTAATTGCTTGGTTATCATTTTTTAAAAACACTTTTCAGAAAATTCTACTTTCTTGTTTTTCGTATTTTTTTGTTTTTACTGTTTTTTTAATATTTTAAGCAATTTTTTTAATTTTTAGACATACCTAACATAAATAAACCTAAAAAGTAAAAAAAAATTGAAAAAAATATTTTAAAAATTCACTAAATACCAAAAATATAAAAAAAAATGAGAATTCAGTACATTTTTTATATTTTTATGTATTTATTAATTTTTTAAAATATTTTTTCCCAAATTTTTTACTTTTTGGATACATCTAAGTAAGGTACATCTAAAAAAGTAAAAAAAAATGTTTAAAATTTTAAAAATATTCACTAAAAACAAAAAAACACAAAAATCAAAAAATTCAGTTTTCAAAAAATTTAATCCAAAAAACTCAAACCAAACACACTGAATATATTTTTGATATATATATATATTTTATTTTTTTTGGGGGGTAAGTTATAAATACACTCTATAAAATTTACTTGAAATACTTATTATTCCTTATGATTTTAAAAATTACATTATGTCCCTTAAAATTTTAAATTAATAATATTTTTCATTAATCAACCATTAAATATTACCCAAAAAAACCCTAATGCATTAAAAAAATAAAAAAAAAAAAAAAAATACAACTCAAAGACCAAAACATCACATCACTACTGACGAGACCCACTGCCACCTAATTAGTGGGAGCACTAATTAGTGCTCCCAAGCATTTTTCCAAAGAAGAATTGGAGGTACAAAGACAAGAGTTTCAGATGATGAAATATAATTAGTTTCACGTGTGAGTGTGATGGAGAGAGAGAGAGAGAGTCAAACAGAGACTGCTTAGAGAGAGAGAGAGAGAAAGGGATCGAATTGCGACTACCTTGTTTGTTTATAGTGAGTGGTGGTTTTTAATTTGACAATGGTCGGTAGGCCGTAGGCCTGTGGTTGAGTTGGGCCTACTGTTGAGGCCCACCATCCGGCCTTAATATTATATAGGGCAAATTACATATACACCCCTCCAGGTTTGTCAAAATTACAGATACCCCCCTGAGGTTTCGGAAATTACATCCCGCCCCCTGAGGTTTGTATTTTCATAACAATTTACCCCCTGAGGTTTATATTTCATAACAAATTACCCCCTAATTTCTTATGGAAATATAGCATTCAGGGGGGAATTCGTAATTTCTCAAACCTCAGGGGAGTATCTGTAATTTTGACAAACCTGGAGGGGTGTATATGTAATTTGCCCTATATAATATTAAGGCCGGATGGTGGGCCTCAACAGTAGGCCCAACTCAACCACAGGCCTACGGCCTACCGACCATTGTCAAATTAAAAACCACCACTCACTATAAACAAACAAGGTAGTCGCAATTCGATCCCTTTCTCTCTCTCTCTCTCTAAGCAGTCTCTGTTTGACTCTCTCTCTCTCTCTCCATCACACTCACACGTGAAACTAATTATATTTCATCATCTGAAACTCTTGTCTTTGTACCTCCAATTCTTCTTTGGAAAAATGCTTGGGAGCACTAATTAGTGCTCCCACTAATTAGGTGGCAGTGGGTCTCGTCAGTAGTGATGTGATGTTTTGGTCTTTGAGTTGTATTTTTTTTTTTTTTTTTACTTTTTTAATGCATTAGTGTTATTAGTGGTAATATTTTTAGTGGGATGAATTATTGTTGTTCTTCTTTGTAAATTAATAGTACATAAATTGGCTCGCTTGGTTCTTTTGGTGTCATTTAATTTATTTTAGGCAAATTATACAAATAATCCCTATAGCTTGAGACTTGTCTCACTTTGGTCTTTGACTTTTTAATTGTGACACATATGACTCTGAATTTTAAATCTTGTTCCAAATAAGAACAATTGAATATATAATTAAATTTTCAATGGTAAAATTATCAATTTGATAAAATATAAACTAATTTGACAAAAATAAATGTGAAACAAATATTTTTGAATTTTTAAAAATAATTTCTACCTACTAAAAATAAAATTATATAAAAGTGATAAATATTTTAGACATTTTTTTTTTTACCAAATTAATTTTTATTATGTGTTTGGATGATGATCATGCAAAATTAATTTTAAAAAATTAATCATGTAATTTTTATTAATTTTACATAATTTTATCATTAGTGGATAAAAATAATTTTAAAAAAATAAAAAAAAGTTGACATTTATTTTTGTCAAATTAGTTTATATTTTATCAAATTGACTATTTTGTCCTTGAAAAATCTAATAATATTTTCAATTGTCCTTATTTGGAACAAGATTAAAAACTCAAGGGCAAATGTGTCACAATTGAAAAGTCAATGACCAAAGTGACACAAGTTCCAAACTATAGGGGCTATTAGTGCAATTAACCTATTTATTTTTTTTGAAAATTTTTTGACACTTGTTTGGTGATTTATTTTTAATTTTTTTTTTTGTTGAAAACAGTCTAATTTATAATCAACATAGAGGTGTTTGGCTATGATCAGAGCTAATTATTGCCCGTTGAGGTGTTGATCAAAATTAATTTTGGTAATAGGAGATAAAGATAATCAATGAAAACTGTCATTGGTAGAAGAACAAGTAAAAAATGAAAATTTTCAAAACAAATGAAAATATGTTTTTGTTGCAAAAATTAAGAAATTTATAAACTATTTTATAATTTTTTTAAATGAAAATAAATACCAAAAGGATTTTAGTTTACACCTTTCAAATTTTTTTTTTTTCAAATATAAACAAAAAATGGTTACCAAAAGAAAACGAAAACATAAAAAACAAAAACAAAACAACTAACTAGTTTTTTTGAAGATGATTCCCTCCTCTATCCATACTACCACACAAAGAAACACACAGCCTTGTCACTTGTCCCTACAATTATTATTATTTTTTTTTTGATAAATAATAATAATAATAAATTAGATTAAAGATTATTCCATCCTCCAATTCATACTAATAACACACCATCAGACAAAGTGAGACTATTTAAAATGATGAGACCCCTAAAATATTAAAAATTTGACTTAAAGCCCAATGATTAAAGGTCTAAACACATGATTAACACACCATCTTGTTGTCATGTAAAGTTGGTGTCAGATTTAGAGCAAAGAATGAAATAGAAAAATAATAGTGAGAGTAGTAGTGGTGGGAGGGGTGGCCCGACAACAGTTTTTGAGTGGCCTTTTTTCTTTAATCTCTCACCTAACGCCTTAACTTGGCGGTGCCCCGACACATTTTTGAATTTGTACCATGCACTAGGGGTAGTTTTGATATAACATGTATTAAAAATGTATGCTGCTAAATGTGTCCACCATTCCTTCATACTTTTTGATGTTGCATTTTAACCATTCATAAAATATTATTTTTATCATATTCCTTCTCAAATCCTAATCATATCATTCACTACCACCATTAGCTCAAATTGCTCTAGATCCCTGCCCTTTCGAGATTCCTCTTCGCCATCCTCCAATCTCCGGCCACCATTTTCGCTTCACTTTGCGACTTTTGTCGCCCTTTTCTATTACTCACTCACTACCACCATCGCCACATCAGCTCAAACTGCTCTAGATCCCTGCCCCTTCGAGATTTCTCTTCGCTATCCTTCAATCTCCAGCTACCATTTTCGCCTCACTTTGCGATCTTTGTTGCCTTTTTCTGTTACTCACTCACTACCACTACCGCCACATCTCCATTCATATTACCGTCCCTACCCACACAATGATCTCTCTCTTTCTCTCTCTCTTTCTGCCCACGCGCACTTGATCTATCGTGTGATTAGAGTTTTACAAGAGTGTCGATGATAGCTAGAGTGGCATAGAAGAAGTTTGGTGGAGTTGTAGACGGAAAGGGATGGAATAGCTCTAAAGTATGTATTCGAATTGCAATAATTTTAGATTCCCAGTCTTTTTGGCATAACAACCAATTCCACTCTAATAACAGATATCTAAAGTGGAATTGTTCATTTTGTATAGACAAGGAATTTGTGTTGGAATTTTCCTTTGTAAGAGGGATGCCGAACGGAATTGGGGAGGCGTTTTAGTAGAGATAAGGG